CGGTTCCGCTCCCTGGCAGATGCTCCGACCATTGTGCTTTTGCTGTTGCAAATAGAAACACTGCTCACCTCCTCACCTCTCCTCCTCCCCCCGCCAGACAATAAATGCACACCTCTGGGCCCTCGGCGCTTCCTGACTCTGCTTCTCTCCTGCAGGTGTAGATCTAGAAGAGACTGGAAAGGAGGGTGGAAAAAGCAGGGAGGTTATGAGGCTTAATAAAGAAGGTAAGTCGATAGTGCTGGCACACCTCTCTACCTGTCTGTCTCTTGGTGGCTGTGGATGACTGTGGTTTGGCCTTGACAGGGTAGCCTGATAGCATGTGGATCTCTCTGCCGTGAAGAATGTTTCAGGGTTGGATACGCACAGACGACTGTCACTGTGTCAACTTCTTTTGAAGTACGAGTATAACAGGTGTATGCGTGCGACTGACAGACGTGGTAAAAGATAAGGCAACTTTAAGTCAAAAGACAACTACACATCAGTGGCCATATTGGATTTTTTTTTTTTTTGAAGACCCTGTCCTTTCTTGGTGCAACATTTCACTTGCTTCTGTGTGAAGATAAGCGTATAGACCTGTGCATCAACTTTAAACGTTACATTATCATTGGCGACTGTAGTGAAAAACATTTTCCCTCGTGGAGGAAAATGGTCTGTTACCATCTTTGAGTTTATTCACTTTAGCTCAAGTCGCATTTTATTCTTTCATTCTCGTTGCTGAGCATGGCTTACAGTCAACTGAGCAGCCAACGTCTAATATTATCTTACGTTAGGCTAAGCCATGTGTATTATGCAAAACCAAATATAATAGGTTATTTGGGCGATAAGGTTTTCTGGTACCATAAGTATGAACAGGCAAATTCCAGGCTAATGGTATTTGCTAATACACCGTGCCTGACACAGTTCTGTCAGTTGTCAGAGGAAGACTTCAGTGGTGAGCGCAGGCAAATCAAATTGACACATTTTGTTTGTGGCTTGCGTCGTTAACATCACGCTGGGGTAACACCTAATGTGGCTAGTGAAATGGTTGGGGACATATTTTCATGTAGCTTTCTGTTTGTTTCTGTTCTGTTAAGGAAGCGGTATACATACACAATGTCATGAGAAATATTTCTGGTGAAGCTGCTTCATAACTAACGATCCCATCATAGTGAAACTTCAGTGTGACTTACTGATGCTGAGAGAAATCCTGCTATTACCTGTAATGTCATAATATATGTTCTGAAATGATGTTAAGTTTCTCGTTATGTTATAGTTGTCGTTACACGTGCATTTAATTTTGAGCATCTTGGGAGCTTAAAGGAATCCTATGTTTTCTAAACAAGCTCTTGAAAAAAGAATGACTTAATCAGTAACGTAGATTGGTGTGATAAACTCTAAAATTGCATAGAGTAGAGTACACATTAAATAAAATTATTTGAACTACCATAAAATCTCCTTTTTGAAAGACCTTTATAGAGATGCCAAGCTTGATTGTGTTCCTGTCCTGATTCTTATGTGCCTGAACCTCTCTATTTTGCCAGCCCAAAAATAAGTTAGGGGCAGAACTGGGATTTTTGTGTATTATATTTATAGGTAAAAGGTTCAAGGCTCAAACAGTTGGTACGCCTATCAGTAATGTTTGATTGAAAAGTAATTGAACAAAAATCTTGCTACTGGAGCTTGGCCTTAATAAGGAGCTTAATCTGCTGAGATAAAATGTTTTACATCTAGAAGTTTTGGAACACAAATTCCTGTTATAAGCTTACTTGAGACATAAAGATCTAAGCACATCCCTACTCCTTAGTCATACCTAATATGCAAATTGTTTCCTAGAGTGATTCAGTTTAGATTATCAGCTCTAGTCTCTCATTGTTTGGTTTTGGGGGGGTTAGAGACTCTGTCAAAGGAGCTCTATTTAAACTATCCAGAAAAATTATTTCCAAACAAAGTGTAATTTCATTGCTGATGTTACAGTAGTGACAGATGTGAAGCACTTATTAGCTTTTACAGTACTCTTGTTGTAATACAGTTTAAAAAAACAAAACTGACTGTTATATTTGGAAAATAAAAAGCTTTAGGAATTTTGTTGCTTCCAAGCAGTAACTTGCTTTGGGTCACTTAGAAAGAACTTTCACAAAGTTTGAATAAATTAGTATGTTGAAATATTTCTACTGTGTTCGCTTAAGCAGTCTGTTAATACAGGTGTTTTCACCACACCCATCTGAACACCCACTTTAAATCTTCCTTGAGCCTCGCTGTCCTTATTAATGAAGGTGGGGAAAAATTTGAAGAGTTAGATTGGTCTGCAGAAAACATTGCTCATGTACTTGCAGAAACACTTGTGCGCTTGCTCTGATCTTGCACGCGTCTTTTGTGTGACGTGTTGACTTTTTTGTTTGCTTTTGTTCACGGAGAAGGGTTGTGGTCGTGGTAGGTCTATTAATACCAGACCCAACTCATTTTTTCTTTGCAATCTTCCCTATTTGAGTAGGCCTTATGGCATTTGTGATGCCAGGAGATTGTAAGCGGTGTCTTAGAAAAATCAGACTTCACGTGCATAAGGTAACTGGAGGATTATGGATGGGCAGGACTTCTAAGTACCAGAAATTACTGTCCTGTTTGATAAAGATAGTGTAAAATCTGATCCCATCATGTTTACTTCTTGTAAAGAGTCAACTGTTTTTTGTCAACTTTAGTTGATACGACCAGAGTCACTTGGCTGTTCCCTTGTAAGCAGTTAAGCAAGGAGCTTTTTTAGACTAGTGAAACTCTTTGCAGAGAGCATGGTGAGGGGAAGGGGTGGGAAGATGGTGGTCTCCTCCAGACCATGACAAGGTGGTTCACTTTGGTTTTGTAGAAAAAATTATGTTGGATGTCAAAAAATGCTTCTAGCTAGCTTAATCCCTGCATCGCTGCCTCCTTTCTGGTTGTGTACTATATGTGTTTGAAGTGATGGGCTGCTCTTCCTCCTCCTGTTGACCCAGGCGGGGACCTGGGAGTCAGCATTCCTCGGCAATAGTGCAGAGAAACACTGCCAAACCTCTCATCTGCCAAAGCAGTTGGTATTTCTTAGCACATCCCTGGGCAAGGGGGTCGCAGTCTGGCTGTGCTGTTCATTTCTGTAATGCAGGAGATGCACTGAGGCCACGTGCCCCCTGTGCCCCTTCGTTAGGGCAGCAGTAAAGGCATAGAAATACTGCTCACTGCTTTCCTTTATTCTACAGCGTATATGTAGGCAGCACAGAGGGAGAGAAATTTCCTGAACGTTTGTTCAGTTTTGTGGATGGAATTGCTTTTTGCATGCTAATACTTACTTTATGTTTTCCTTTAGCAAATGCAGTATGTCGTTGTTGATTTCTACTGGCATGTAGGTTTGGGAAGAGGGGATTACAAAGTTGCAAGTGTTCACAGAAAATGAAAAATTTTATGTGTAAATGTTTGTGCCAGAAAAAAAAAAAGAAACAACAACTTATCTGCTTATCTAATCAGGAAGCAGAAACAGTATTGTGTAACTTATCTGCCAAATCACTACTAACCAACCAGCTTAGCTAAAAGAGGGGTTATCGGAATTTGAGCAGCATTTAGAATTTATATTGAATTTTAAAAAGTTGAATGGCATATTTGAAGAATTGAAGATTTTTCTTGTAGATACCATGCATAGCAAAAGGAGTCTATTTGACAATGTGTCCTGTAAAAAGCCACAGTAACTGTATGCCTGAGGTAGATACAGTGGTCTTTTGTTATCAGTCATAACCTGTAACTGATTTTAGATTAATTTTGGAGGCATATGTTTTACTTTATACAACATTTAAGAAAATATTAGAAGAATATGAATTTTATTGTCTTATGCACAGAACTCTTACCAATAATCACTTTAGCAAATGTGCAAGCATTATGTGCTGGGAGTATTTCTAGGTAGGCACAGGCTGTAAAGGAGCAAAAGATATCCTGTGTATCTTCGTGAACTACAGCAGGGTTAAATATGACCTATGGGATTTAGATCTGTATCTGGGTACTTGGTGTCATAGTCAACTTCAGTTTCTCAGTTCAGTGGGTTTGTATTATTGAGGTTTCAATCTGATGATGTGTGTGCTTTGTCTTAGATAATCTTTCACTAACCATATTGAATCATTATTGTTTAGCGTTAAGGATGTTACATAAAATATTCTATGCATTTTTTCCAATGTTGGGTTAAAATTCGAGATTCTCTATCCTTATTGTGCAGCCCCAAATTTGA